AATCATAATAAATCGAAGTCAAAAACGAATGCCGAGTGATTGACTTTTTTTCCGTAAGAAAATACGTTGTCCAGGCTGCACCACGTGGAGGTCAGTCTATCGCGCACCCCCGCAGATTGAAATATATTTACGGCATCCAATGATTTGTGAAATATTTATAAATAACCTTTGAATAAATTCTCTGCAAGATAAACGTTTTACTTGAGCTTACTATTGCCCAACATCCTTCATAATGGCTAATGAACAATTTTTTTTAAACTTTACTCTGGAAATGCTTCTCACGATACTTTTTGCTTAAACGATGCAATCATTGCCTTTTCTTATCCGTACTGCTGCAGGGTGCCAATCGTTTCCCTGTCTGAAGATGCACAGGGCAAATCTCATTTCTTTCACTTCTAATTTGCGTTTCTTCCTTGCTTCTTCTAATTTAAATTACTCTTACAGTTTGATCTGGCTTGTTCACAATTCTCGGGGTTCTGATTGAGGAAAGCTTATGAAAATGTCCTTACTTTAGTTACCACTGCTTAGTTGCTAACGCCTTTCCTTAGTGGCAGTGTTGAAATTGTTAATTTATTCTTGTTTTCTTTACTTTCCAGTTTCTCCCTTCTCAGAAGACCTTGATTGCCCGCAGAGTTTTACTAAATCCTTTGCTGGCTTTAATGTGGATGGTGTTGACTTGGAATTAATGAGAGACTACACGGATCGGTTGGGTAGAGTTGTTGGGGACGGAAGTGATACGGTTCATTTGACGTTGGCTCTTACCGAATCTTTTTTGGATATTTGCCAACTCCTGGAGACGGGCCGTTACGAGGAGCTTAAGAAACCCCTATCGCGTCTTCAACAACTATCTGAAATTAAAATTGATCAAAGATGGCAAATTCAAGGCTACTTAGATGTGCACAGTATGTTCTTACCTGCTTATATTATTCAATTATATATTTAGTAAATAATTAGAATTATGACATCTTAACGTCCTGTGATAAAACTATATTATCATTGATTTTTTTTTCTGACTTCGTGAGATTGTACATTTCTAAATTGCTATTACCTACCTTCTTCTTTTTGCGGGAGCGTTTAAATATTCATTCATTAAATTATATTGTCGATAGAGAGTGATTGTGGCTCGTTCTCCTCCTGTATTTTAGTCCTTAGTTAGGCCTTCTTAATTGTTACAGCTGCGATCCTGTTATGATACTTTTTTTCATTTTTGAAGTTTTTAATGACTAAGATCTAAGGCCATCAGAAATTTATTCATATCAAATGGCAGGCTCTATGATAGTTTTCATTAGCCCTTTAGTTGACTTCAGGCTTCACAGAGGAAGAGGAACATCAAATCGAAAAAGTCTAGGGGGGGGGGGGGGGTGAACAGAAGAGTGTTTAAAGATGTTAAAAAGACAGACAGACAAAAAGGCAGAGAAAAGGTAGGATAAGTATGGTGGAAGTGATAGAATATGACATACAGTAGGGTCATGGTAGTTTGAAGTTAGAAGTCAACTGCCGATAAATAGACTTTTTTGACGTATGAGTAAACGTTGCCCAGGGTGCACCACGTGGAGGTAAGTCTATCGCACACCCCAGGCCATCAGAAATAGAGGAGGATTCGCAGAATCCTGGGGCCGTCAGTGATGTTGCTGCTTAGTAAGTGGCACTGATTAAATTGGTTGATATGGTAGTTAATTCCGGTTCGGTTATTGTAGAAAGGTGGTGATAAAGGGCAGTTGACAAATTCCTCGGACAAACTGCTAAATATGAGGCAATCAAGAATCAAACATGCAAAGAGCAAGAGGAGTTGCACTCTTTCAGCATCATAATTTGGTTATGAAGCACCTATTTTCTAATATATATTTAGTACTTTTGTGGTTTTTTTCCCGATCTCCTTTACATTATCCTGGCTATAGCCTTAATATCTCCTAAATACTTAAATCTTAAATTCGTATTTTTTTTAGTATCTGCTTTGGCGGCAGTAATCACTTTCTTCATGAATGACTTTGAACGTTGCAAATTTCACGCATTAAATCGTAAGTCGTGTTATTACTGACCTCCCTCATATTCGTATATGCGTCTCTGAATGATCCTTTCTACTTAAGTGTTCGAGTTCTGCCTCTCGTCCTCTGCACAAGTTAGCCATGATATCTCTAAATTCAGCAATTTCTCAAATGTTCCTCCCAGCACCCTTTCAGATTTTCTGACGCCTCGTTGTCACTACACTCCCGTTCGCATCTTTGGTGACTCCAATCCTGTGGGAATCAATCCCCTTAATCGCGTATTCAATTGGGCCTCCTGTATGCTCCTTAGCAATGCAGCCAAATCCAATCTCATGTCGATTATTGCCCCGAGTCTCAAGTGCTACACAGCGGAATGCATGGTTGGTTGGTTGGCAGAAAAAAAGTTACATATTTCAATTTATCTAGAAATCAGGCGAAAAACTGGTCTGGCCTAGACCTCAAACTGCTCTCTTCATAGAGTCTTGCATCATATCAACTAGCAGTGAACTTCTTCCCAAGTACGTCAATGCCTCCACGCTGAAATCTTTTGATATACCTGAGGAATATTCAATTGAAGTAAGTCTTCGAATCAAGCTAGTAAAATGCCTCCTAAATTTTTATCAACTTGGTGCGGACAAATCGGCGATTGCTCAAGGTTAGTTGTTACGATTGATCTAACCCTCTTTCTGTGCAGAGGTTCTCAGTTTGAATAATCTAAAGGATGATCCCGGTTTCACTTCGCATAATCACTGTCTTGCTGGATGGATATTGTTGAAGTTGCCGATGGTACCAGATGAAGAAGTTTTGGACCATTTTGATCGTGGAGCCATAGCTGATCGGAATTACTTCCTAAATCATCTAAATACTGGTGACACATATTACTCGAGAATGAAATCCTATGGGTATGCTTCACGTTCTTCTATACCTTTTTTTACTCTCTTCTTAATTAATCTCGTAGCATCCGATTTCATTTTCTTTTATATTAAGGAATTGTCTACAATTTTTATAGGAGGTTTAATACTACCATATCTAGACAGCCTATTGATTCCTGATCTTGCTCATTTATTATATATGGCAATATACCAAAAATTATGAGATCGCGAGTTTTGAAGCTCTAGTGTAAATGCAGCCCTCAAAGGCGCATATAGAAGGAAGGGAGGGGGGTGAGTTGCGTATGATAAAGGAGCTTACCAATGTCAAGACAATGGGAATGCTATTAAAATACCTCTTTGCAAACCTTGTGGATGCTCTTTTTTTGAACGACACCTAAACCCGTATATTTTGCTATTTTAACTTCTACTAGTAGATGCCCTTTTGGTGTCTATGTAATCTCAATATTATCGAACTGATATTAGAGAAAAAAGTAGATCGAAATTGGATGACAATGGAATTGATCAGGACCGAGACCTCACGGACTGTGGGTGCTTGAAATCCAACAGTCAATCAGTTGACGTCATCTATGCTCTTTTTTAGAAAGGCTCTTCGAGCCCTCAAAACCGCTTGGGATATTGTTCCCGGAAATCCGAAAACTGCCTATCTACTGGTATCCACGCTTTGCAAGTTAGGGAAATTAGTAAGATCTTGTAGCCCCTATTTAATCATTATGACCATTACCTCCTTTCCACGCTAACTCCATTGTCGCGTCTACTTTGTAGGACAAAGCTTTCGAGGTTTACAGGAGTGTTGATACTAAGTAAGTCCTTCCACGTTTTCCGTCATTTTGTTATTTTGGTTGGATTATTATTTTCATCACTTAAATGTGTGAAATGAACAACGATAACATATTTCTCATATGTTGCGATTGAAATTATGCCCAATTTTGTGAAGTTACCTTGTTGTACTTGTAGAATTCACTTTACCTGCTTCCTCTGATTTGCTCTCCACCATTGCCAAATTCAGTTGGCTCTCAATCCTTCTTCCTTTAAAAATAACGACTAAACTTGTTTTCATCCAAAAGTGAGCTAGAACACGCGTTTCTGTTAAAGCCAAACTAGAATCAGAGTGTCATATATTAGGTTACCGACTCGAATTATATTGTTTCAAGTAATGTAGTGGATCAATTATCGTGATTAAATATGCGAATTCATTTAAACAACCAGCGAACCCATGTGTCGACTACGCTAGTTAACTTTGGAGGTGAAGAATTCGCTATCACAGGCAGTACATCTTTTACTGCTTTTTCAATGTGGCTTGGGTAAAAGGGAACTGCTGAGTTGTGCATCAAAGCTTATGATGAGCACCTTCAACTCTTGCTTTGAACCAGTAAATGACCAGTATGTTGTTATTACTAATACTATAAATGTACTACTTTTTAACTAAAGTATTAATTTGCCGTTCTGTATAAAAAACTTCCTCTTTTATTTTGGTTACCCCCGTATATGGGGTTTATTTGAAAGTTGGAAAAGGGGTGCTGGAGACAAGGAATTTGGTTACAGGCTTAGATGTCTCTATTATTGAGCACAAATTGCACAATACGTGTTGACGTTTCTGAACTGTATTCTTTCTCCGAAAGTTTGAATGAAGGATTCTTATAAGAGTGGGCTGATTACTCTTTTTGAAGTACCTGAACGTTGTTTCTTATTGGAGTAACTGGGTTTCGAATTAATCCACATTAATTTGCTTTTAGATCATTTTCTATTCCAATGTTCTTCAATTACGGTCTGATTGCACTTCGTTTAAAGGAATTTAATAAATGCATCCCAGCTTTGCAGAGAGTCGTTGCGGTTCAACCAACTAATGTGTAGGTTTGTTTTGTGATTTTTATCTTCTTTTGTTCTTTTCGTTTTCTCGCAGTTTGGCTTGGGAAATTCTTGCCGAGGCTTACATGGGTCGTGGAAACTATGGTATTGCTTTGAAGGCCCTAAAACAATCAATTGATGTAAGTTTGGTCCCCTTCTTGGCTTTTGCTTTTTTGGCATTCAGTTTTATCGTCTTCATTTATTCTAGCTTGATCCCACTCGTCCACTTTCACATATTTTGTACGTTCACTCTACTTATTTTTAAATAAGTAGCATAATAATGCAATATTAACTTGTCCTCTTGTTCAGGTATGCGCAAGTCTGCACTGCTCTCTTCGATTATCCCGCAGCAATCATTGCTTATGCACGTGTTACTGAGCTTTTGCAAAATCAGGAACTTCATTCACTGCATCGTCTTGCCAATAAAGGTTTGTCTTTGTCACCGCTTTAAAATAAAGCAAATTTTTTATTCTCACTATTTATTTTAGGCCTTGTGGAATTGAATGTCAATTTGGCCATTCAAGAGCTAAGAAACGGAATGCCAACTGCGGCTATTGCACATATCGAAACTGCACTTCAGATCGGAGCAAGGTAAAGTGCCTGCATTTATTCTATGGATTATCGATTGTGCCAATCTATTTTGTTTTCATCGAGTTTCACTTTTTTCGCTAGTAGATTTTCACTTTGAATAGCTTATTTTGTCTTGAAGCTAATTTCACTCATTTTGCATTTATTCCCTGTCGAATATTGGGAATAAAATAGGTACGCATATAAGTTGCTTGTTAGGATCTAGCAATTGAAAAAAAGTTTTCTTATTTAATTTCAGGGTCTTTAGCGAGACTCCTCAGAATACACCACTATGGCTCTGGTACTACATGGGCTATACTTTGAGCCTTCTTTTACTGTTTCATGATGTAGGGCTTAGGTGAGTTTTTTTAAGATTTTATTTGGTTTTATTATTTCCTATTTCATGGTGTTTCTTCTCTCTTAATTAAGAATCCGAGTGCCTAAAGATTTCATGCGTTTCTTTAAATCTCATAATGTGAACCGGGAAGTTGAAGGCACTTGCTCTATTAGTGTTGAGACCTGCGCTGATCTCTCGGGCATGTGAGTTTGGATAAAATTTAAAATACTACCGAAGTTCTATTTCAGTAGTTTAACTCACCTATTCTACTCATTATTTCAGAATGCTTACCATGTTTATTAAATCCTCAAAGAACGCAAAATTGAAAAGAGAAATCGTTCTGTCTTGGATATGCATGGGATTGCTTCAACTCTCCCGAGTTGTTCATCTACGAACTGTTGGGCCGCATGGTGATTTAGCAAAGCCACTATTTAGCGACCATGATGCAGCTGATTACAATCTCACTCTAATACAAGCAGAAACTTGTTTCTCGATAGCTCTTAAAAAGAGCAAAAAGTTACCACCTAATAGTGAACAAATTATCGCTTTCGCTTGGTTCGCTATAGCATCAACTATGATTCTGGGAAGGGGTGAGTGTAATACTCGAATCAATCCCATTTATTTTTACTTTTGACATATTAAAAGTGGAATCATTGTTGAATCAATTTGTGGATGATTGATTCTAGTTCGTACAGGTTGGAGAACCACACGTATGGCCTTTTTTACTTCCTTTATTTGATAAGGGAAAAGAGGATATTTGATTCCCTTTGATACATTTGTTCGAAATTTTTGAAGGCGTTATGTGTGTGTGGGGGGGGGGGTTGCAAGTTATTTGAGCAACTTTTCATCGAAAGCCTGCATTGGATAAAATATTCGCTTTCTTTTTCACTCGAGCTTTTCACATTTTTATTGTGACCAATTTACTTTAATTCTTAACGTGTGGCCAGGGTACATATGGTCCTGCATAAATACAGAAAGGTAAATTAATATTTCCATTTAATTTAAAAGCATTGAAAACAGAATGTTACGAATAACAATACACGTAACATTCAGTAGTTCACAACAAGTGCTAAAAGTGTTCATCATAAACCTTCATATCCAAATCACTACGTCTCTTTTCTATCATGTTGAGGGGTTGAAACTTTTGACGATGTATTTGGTGTGATTTCCACTGTTGTATTGCGAATTTTCATTTTCACCTTAGTAGTGGTTCGTTGGTTGGAACGCTCGCATCACCAATACTTTGTTCCCTTGCCTAACTTGGACTTACAATCCTATTAGGGTTAACTCAACATTACCACCTACTTCTATTCATCCGAATTGAAATATACAAGATTCTGAATGGTATACACAGTCATATTTCTGGCTCAATTTTTGGAAGAAAAAAATTTTTTTGTTAGTGGAAAGACCAACGGTTGGGATTGGGAAACTGTCATTAAACACCGAAGATTAAAAGTAGGAATCTTCTAAAATTCATGAATAGCAAAACTGAACTTTAGTAGGTGAACTGCTCATATAGGGTAAAAATTGTACAGATCAATTCTCGCTTGAGTAATTGCTTCAACATATTCTGAGATGACACGCTCGTTTGATGATTAGTTGTGAGGATAGACGTCTAGTTGATTTGTGTGGACTCTTGGCAGAATCTGGTGAAGGCATTGCCAACCACGAAAAAGCCGCTTGCGTGTGGCTATGTCAGGCATTAGCAATGCGACATTTGGCTCTAAATTGGACAGGTATTTGCTGGAAAGCAATAATTCCAAACGATTTAGATTCCAAGTAAGTTTCAAATAATATGCTCTCTTTTTGAAATGAAAAGGGCATTCTACATTACTGTTTTCACAATTGAGCAATGTACAGTTAACTCAAAATGACTGTCTGGTCCCGTAATTTCCGCCAAAATAATTTTTTTTTAATATTCAGCACTAGCCAAAGTGATTTTATTATTATTCATGGAGGGTTCGTTTGAGTGCCTGGGATATACTCCTTTAGCTTCTACCTAGTTAACTAAGAATAGGATTGGTTGCAAATAAAGATCTATAGCATTCTTGCAATTACTATTTCAATTTTATCGATGGTTTTTTTCGGTCTCCTGTAGACTTAAGTGGATATCGATCGACTTATGGTTTTGCAAAGGCTTTCAGGCTCTGCAGCAAGGTAGGCGTCATTTTTTCTTCTTTTTTTTCATTTCATACTAAGTGGTTTATTTTATGACCCTCTTCTCGTACTTCAGTTTTTAACTGCTGGTATTTACTTGGCTTCCTCACTTGCTATTATTGGCAAGGAAGTGGTAAGTTTGAGGTCTCTTATTATTTATCTATTTCCTTTAACGCTTGACATTCTTATGGGTATATGCCTTTTTTTGCACCAATGTCGTTCTCATATTGGACCATTTTTCTTCAATTCTCTCTTTGTTTCCTATGCAGACACATTCTCATCTTCCAGGGTATTTCCTTGTATGTCTATTGTTGCGTTTACTGGCTATCGAGGGTGGTGGGGGGGGTGGGGGGTGGAGGAGGGGGCTCTTGTCTGTGTGCTTCAAACGCTATTTGAATTGGAAAATCTGATATCAGCTACATTTTTTTTGTCATTTGGAGATTGTAGCATATTGGAAAGTGCGCACAGAGTCACAGATAGAGAACGCTTTGTCCCAGCTATTTAATGTGATGCTACGTAAATTAAAATTGGTTAGTCGTCTTATCTCAGTTGATCCGTCACTGATGATCTAGTAAGGGAAATATTCAAACACTTCTGCTATGGTCAATATTCAGTCAAAGCAACAGCAACAACATATCGATGAATTTGTCCGCATGTGCATATCATGTAAATTGGAGGATGGTGGTAGAGTCAGGTTCTATGGGTTGTTTTGGAAAACCACCACCAGGGGCGCTTCGTTAAGGTTGTCTATTGCCTTCTTGTTTATTTCTATTGATAAACTCAGGGAGGCAACAGCTTAACATAAAGTTTTCCCTATTGATGAAAAAGGCAAGTGTGGCCTTAAATGCCTCCGCCACAATTTACTGACCAAAAGCTTCAGCAATTCATAAATCCAATACTTTTAATCACGTCCAATCAAGTAAAAATTTCCCCTCCAAGATCGAAGAATGGACGCAGGAGTTTTTGAGACTCACGACAATTTGTTGCCTTCCTAGTGTGTGTGTACCTCATTGCAGTGTGAAAATTCGAACGCGCCGTCTTGATGATACAATTATCATATTATCATATGTGACAGCAGTCTTACGAAGGATAAGTAGCAGCTGTGGTGTCGGTTTTCACCTTGCTCTATTTATCCACTCCCTCTCTCTCTCTAACGTTTGACACTGTCATGGGTATGTATAGAATCTATTTTTTCGGTTCCTTGCTATTTTCTCTTGTTTCTTTTTGCACTGATATTTTTCCCATGTTGGATTGCTTTTCTTCAGTATTCTATTTTTTTTTCACTCAGACACAACTTGTACGGCCAAAATATTATCATGTATGCCTATTGTTGTGTTTATTGGCTATCGGGGCTCCTATGTGTGTGTGTGTGCGCGCACTTCAAACGCTATTTAATTGGTGAAATCTGATGCCAACCAAAATTTTCGGCCTTTTTAGAAATTTTTTTTCGTATTGGGAACTGCGTACCAAGACACGGAGGGAAAACACTTGGCCCTAGTTACTTGATTTTTTAGTGCGTAAATTAAAAGCGATTAGGTAGACATGTCTGGGCACATTTGAGCACAGCAGAACGTCAATCGTATGCAAGTCGTCGTATCTTACGTGGTCCCCGTCACTGATAGACCGAGCGTCATAGTAATGATCTAGCAAGGGAAATGTGCAAATTCGTTTGTTATGGCCAATATTCAGCCAAGGCAACGGCAACAACACATTGTGTAAAATCAAGTTCTCTATGGGTTGTGTTGGAACACCTTCGGGCGCTCCAGTGAGGTTGCCTATACCCTCTTGTTTGTTTCGGCTACTGGAAGCAATTACTCAATTAAGCCACTCCAAGCTTATCTATCGACCTTGTTACGGTCTCTCTAGGTTAGGTTGGTATTAATGCTTTCGTCGAAGTCATTAGACCACCCAAGTTAGGCATTCATATTATTGTTATGGCTCTAGAGCAAAGATATATTAATTGAAAATATTTTCTTTGTGGTACCTGCTCATGGAGCATGTAGAGGTTATAAAAGTCAAATTTTCTTTCTTAAAAAATAAGAGTGTCTCCTGACGTCTTCAAGATACGTTTGAAGTTCATTTTCGCTGAAGAATAGCTTTCAAGACGATTGGGATGATTTCACATATTTTTATGCACGAAGATTTTCAGGCTCTTGTTGCTTTATGCTCGCTTATTTCACTATCCAGCTCTAACTTGTCTGATGCCAGAAGAATTTGTTCGAGTTCGAAGAGTGTGGGGAGGGGGGGGGGAATTGCACCATCTTCATTTTCTTTTCAGTAGAGCTAACACTCATAGCTTAGAAACCAGCTAAAACCTTTTACTTAATTATAATACTTATTTAACACTGTAGTTCTAACTAACACTTTTACTCTTATAACTATAGGCCAGCCCAAAGATTATGGATCGATGTCTCGAATTCGATCCTAAGGTTCATCCCTATTGGCTTGTTATGGCCCAATTAACTGCTAAACGGGTAGTAGATAACCAACTGGACGAATTCAAGTGTCTTTTGCAAGTTGCCGAAGAGGGTTTTAATGTAAGCTATGCGTAAAAGTTTGCGTTAAAATTTCTAATCAGCACAAAATCTTCTAAAGCTCAATGTTTTTCTTTTCAGCTTGGTGCACTATGGCAAGTAGTACCTAAAATTTTCAGTCTTTTGAAAGAAGACTTTGGAGGAAATTGCCCCAATCCAGAGAGTCTCCGATTAGCTCGTTCTCTCTGTGCCGACTATCTGTATCGATCCTTGGGTAAGTTTGGATTATTGGTAGAATAGCGTATTTTACCTAGTTTGCATTGACTTACTAATGTGCACACTCTATTGTGTAGCCTTCTACCCAAATGACTATAGACTGTGGCATGATCGTGGTCTGCTCTTACAGTTAAGTGGTTTCCATCGTCCAGCTCTCTACTGCTTTGAAAAGTAAGCCCTCTTTTACTGAATTACTTATTAAGCTATGCAGGAAGCGTGGTTTTGATGAAGATTTAGTAAAAAATATTTATTTATTGATTTCAAAATGCCAGGCGTTTTGATAGTTATCATTAGCCATTTAGCTGACTTTGTCTTCACAGAGAGGAGAAGGCACATCAATGACAAAATTCGAGAGGGGAGATGACAGAAAAATGATTCACAGTTGTAACAGAGACAGACAGCCAGACTAAAAGGCAGAGAAAAGGTAAGATGAGTACTGTGAAAGCAGTCGAATATGGCATACAGTGGGGTGATGGTAGTTTGAAGTGAGAAGTCAACTGGCAGTTAATAGACTTTTTTACCGCATGAGTATACGTTGCCCAGGGTGCACCACTTGGAGGTAAGTCTATCGCACACCCCAGTTAAGCAAATATAGTAAAAAATATTGTGTAGATAAAGCAAACTAGAGAACGAAGGGGTATAAAAGTGTGTTGGCATTTACTTCCCGTTTGGGTGGAAGGCTGCCAATTTGATCTACTTCCAACGCCTCAGTACTAACACGTCAGATAGCTTACAAACAACTTCCACGATTGGATGATGCATCCTACAAAACATCTGATCCTTTGTATCAATGAATAATTACGACTGTTGGAGATTCTTTTTGAAAGAAAGATTCTCGTCGTCGTTATCGTCGTCAACACTGTCATATCAATTTACCACCTACTCCAAAGATACTCTTCCAATTGGTGGACTTCTTTGTCCAGAAGTTGGGATATGCAAAAATTGGGTGAAAAAAGGCTAACCGCAAAATCACATTAGAGCATGTCATCCACTTTTTCCACATGAAGTGAAAGATTATTAAAGGGGAATTGTCTGAAATCACTTTAACTTGAAAAGTCTCTCTCTCTCAGGAGCTCCTGTTTTCCTTATATGCTCAACACCCTACTCTCTAATGCCTCCACTTTTGTGAACATTCATTTCCTAGTTTTTAATTTTGAAAAAAAAACTATCAGGCTTCTTTTCTGTCATATTGTTTAATGAAAAAAACTAATGACCCGTTACAGATCATGGTTTGTTCTCTTCCTTGAAGGGCGAATGAACTAATTTTGAAGTTGAATTCGAAGTCTCGTTCGCATTTAGTCACTGTGGCGGCTCACTACCTATTATCTACTTTTCAATTGTAAGTTCTTCCTCACTCTCTCTCTCTCTTGTGCTTAATTATAACTTTTAATTCCTCACTCTTTTGATCAGTATTTCTTTTCTGTTTTTTTCTTGTTTTCATTTCAGGGGTATGGTGAGTGTGTCTGATCTGAATACATTCACCAAACATTTGTCTCCTGGAATTGAACTAAGTAGCGGAGGTCATACCGCAGTCGCCTTAGTTCAGTTTTCACTTTCCAATTTCGCCGCTGCTAAGGAAGGTTTGTCGCTTATCATCTTCACATTTCAATTTCATTTTTCTAAATGGGTTTGTAAATTTTATAATTTATAACTTATCTTGAGTGAACAGAAACAACATGGTTAGCAAAGGTCGAAAATGCAGATCTTTGATAACTTGGAAAAATCGATATACACACACACACACACACACACACACACACACACACACACACACACACACACACACACAC